ACGCTCCTCAAAACACGATGCATTCTGAACCTTCTGAACCGCTGAGCTCTTGGGAAGCGTGTCTTCTTCTCTGAAGCTCTTTCTACGGGCAGAACACATCTCCCAACAGCTTTAATAGGTCCCTCCCTTCCGTCAGCAGTGGAGGAAGTTCACCCAGGACCAATTGGACTTGAGGCTATTGTTCCTTCCTTCCAGTGAAGACACACCCTCAAAATCGAGAAGGACTTGAGAAGTTTCCTTCTTGGAAAAGATCAAAGAGTAGATCAAATAAGCATGCTGTTGCTTGGCAGGCTTTGAAGATGTCCACAGTTAGGATTATGGTTAGAGTTAGAGGTGCAAGCAGAGATGATACATAGCTCCATCATGCTCAACTTGACAGACGCGGGCCCTCCTATTAGTAAGAAAGCATCTCCCAAGCGAAGGCAAATATGTCTCCCAAGATAATGATGTGAGATCAAATTTGGGTCGGTCACCAGAGATTCTTCTCTTCCAAGCTTTGGAACTCACGCTGGAGCCCATCTTCAGGGAATTTCCACTGGAAGACAAGCTTCGGGCTGTTCCGCGACTTGTGTTCATGTGGTGCAGCAACTACAATTGTTGTCCGATTGCCGTGTTGATGGCTGGCGATCGGCTGTCGTTTCCTTGTGCCGCCAATCCCCCGGGGCTCCTAAGTGTTTGATAGGCTGGTGGGAATTCAGCACTCCTGTTGGCGGACGAAGGGCCCGTTTCCCAATCACTTCCCTGGCTGTTTTTGGGCCTGCTCGGCCAACAATCGTTGTTGCTGCGGAATTGAATGCGTGTCCTTGTTGGCTGCGATGCGAGGCTTACCAAGGATTGAGTGCTCGCTTGTGTTATCTCTCGATCTTGCAAAAGATCTCCTTAAGAAACAATCCACTTTGGCTTGAGCACAGCCAGGGACCAGGAATACTGATGGTGAGACTAATTTTTTTCTCACGAGGTTGTCATTTCCCAAACCTGTGGATCACTACGAGGGGGTACCAGGATGGGAAGGTTTCCTCCCCAGGGATCTGGAACCCAATTCAGTAAATGGCATTTCCATCTGGGAGACCTAACATCGCACCACCATGATGGAAGGAAACCAGCTCTTCCCAACCTCGCCACGACAATCCTCTCCCGCTCTTCGTTGGGGCAGGAAGATGCCCTCTTTCCTGCTGCGGAGATAGACCATCTCCCAAATGAAGGACTGAAGGATTCACCACCCCAAGAGTAAGCAGAAACTTGCAAACAACTTCAAACCAACCAGCCTTCACCCAGGATCTAAGGTGCCCACCAGAACCATCCAAGGTCCAGAAACCAGAAGGTTGGGTAGAATATCTAGAGAGAAGGTTGAACCTGGTTCCAAGTTGTATCTCGGACACCTTTATGAGGTTTGCTTGGCCATAGCCATGTTCTCGGACAGGGGTCGGCAACCTTAAACACTATCCATAGAGCCACAAATGTCCTCACCGGAAACCCCCATTCAATTCTGGAGCCGACTGGAAGTCCGGTTCCCCCACTGTAATCTCCCTCCTAGCGTGGCGTCCTTTTTCCTCCACCTGCCCTAACCAAAAGCCCTATCAATTGTGGAGCCGACCGGCGACAGAGAGCCGCAACAGAGGGACGAAAGAGCCACATGCGGCTCCGGAGCCGCAGATTGCTGATCCCTTTTCTAGGAAGTTTTTCCCTCTTCCAAAAATCAACTTGTTCCTGGAACCTGTGTTTAAGAGTATTTCTCCACCCGGGAGACTCTTAAATTAAAATTAATGAGGGGTTTGGAAATTATCTCTCCACCTTCAACCCCCCCCCAATCCCTGACTTGTGGCCATTTTCCTGCTTAGCACCCAGCTGGCATCAGGAAAATCAGGAAGAACAGCAGGAATTTACGCAAACCGGTTCCCAAGGATGAAACGAGATATACATAAAAGAGTGAGTACATTTATTGTTCTCGTTTGCAATCGCCAGGCTGTCATTCAAACCAACATGTAATAAAAACACGTGCGTAAGTGCCTGTCAAGCGTGCAGCGTGTCCCACACTGAGCATTCTCAAGGAGAATTCTGGGAGTTGAAGTCCACAAGTCTTAAAGTTGCCAAGTTTGGGAACCACTGTCCTAAACTATCGGCTGTTTCACCTCTGTTCTATCTTACACCCACGCCTGGCTTCCTGTGCCCCTCCTTTACAACTTGCCACACTGCTCCAGTAAGGTTTGTTGCAACTTAATAAAAATTAATTAATCCCTCATAATTGTCTCCTATTAGTTGGTTTTGTCGTTAAATCAAATCCTTAATTTTTTCAACACCACTACTCCGTGGGGAATAGAAAGCGTGAAGTTTCCACTTAATTCCGAAAACCTAGGAAACAGTTTGTCACCTGAGCTGTGAAGTTCACATGCTTCAGGAACAAAATGAACAGGTAGAATCATTTAAACACACATCAACTACAAGGATGAAACTTTTCTCGTGTCCTTTTGGATTGGAGACATCTTAAGTTTCAATTACCTTGAGGGTGCAACAAAGACTTAGACACGCCTAAGAATTTCAACAGACAGTACATCAAATTAATCGTCCAATTACCTAGGAATTTCCCATTCAATACATGGCTTAGGACCAGGATACCTGCGAGACCGTTCTCATAACTCGTCAAGTGTTGCCACGACCCGTCCTCGGACATCTTGGTGAACTTCTCAAACTGGTCCATCATCTCTCGACTCCCAACTTGGGTTGGGGAAGCCAAGGTCCTGGAGAGGCTGGTGGGGCTGTTGGTGGGAAGGAAGACGAGATACTTGCGTTGAGGGACCCCACACGACGCTTCAAGGGACATGGGTGGGTTATTTGTAGGTCTTCTATCTTCTCTGTCCATCCCATCAGGTCTCTTAGGCTCAGAGTGCCCTCTCTGAATGCAGGAGGCTCAACCTTCTCAAGATCCTCCAGCATCTCCTTAGGATCCCAGAACCTTTTAGATGGTCCTCCAAAACCAGGGATGAAGAGGTTTATTTGGAGAGGGTTGTCCTCCCCTTCTTTTTAAACCCTCCCCAATACTCACTGTGGAGGTCCTTCGGAACAGCACACGGGGATGTTGCACCAAGAGTTCTTTCGTTGTTGACTCACGAGGTATCCTGGTGGCCAATCCTTTGACCCTCTGGTTGACGCTCCTCAAAACACGATGCATTCTGAACCTTCTGAACCGCTGAGCTCTTGGGAAGCGTGTCTTCTTCTCTGAAGCTCTTTCTACGGGCAGAACTCAACTCCCAACAGTTTTAAGAGTCCCCTCCCTTCCATCAGCAGTGGGGGAAAGTCACCCAGGACCAATTGGAGTAAGCCTATAGTGTCTTCCTTCCAGTGAAGATACACCCTCAAAATCTAGGAGGACTTGAGAAGTGGCTGGTCCCCCCCCTCCCCAAATGATTTATGCCAAGAACTTTCCACGATAAACCTGGATACGTTCACCTGCCCTTAATCCCAGATTCGTGGGCACATTCTCTCCGAGATTGAACCAGCAACCTGTTGCTCAACTGGCACTGAAGTTGCCAAGTTACACAAGAGAGGCCGAGTTGTATGTAACGCATCTCTGGTATTTCTCCACCCAGGGGACCCTTAAATTAAAATTAACGAATGACCATACAGGCCGTGAGGGATGTGGACATGGTCTCCTCTTTTGCAATCCCTGACCCTGTGACCGTTTTTCTCCTTAGCTCCCAGCTGTCATCAGGAAAGCCAGGAAGAAAAAGAATTTACACAAAACGTTTCCCAAGGACGAAACAAGAGCAGACACATTGTAGAGAATAAATTATATTTTAACTTGCTCGTTTGCAATTTCGCGGTTACTCAAACCAACATGTAAAATACTTGTAGGGTAAGTGCTAAATAATCCTCCCACAAGGCACTCAGAAGGCGGGGCAAAGAGGTAGGCATCTAACGAGGCACCCCAAGGCGTAAGGTTTGGCACCGCACACACCGCGAGAAGACCCAGTGAAGAGGGACAAAGGTTGTTGAATGCGGGATGCTGTGATTGTCAGCACTTGGGTAGAAACCTTCTCAGGTGTCGGTGACCAACCAGGTAAGGCTGCCCCGCTGGACCATACAGCACCTGGGGTCTCCCTTTTCACTCAACCTCCTTCTCTGCAACCATCCCCAAGAAGAGCGGCTATCAAAAGCGACAATCTGGATATAGATAGATCAGGGGCCGGCAAGCTGTGGCTCCGGAGCCGCATGTGGCTCTTTTCATCCCTCGGCTGCGGCTCCCTGTCGCCGGTCGGCTCCACAATTGATAGGGCTTTCTGTTAGAACCGGTAGAGGAAGGAGGAGGCCGCGCTAGGTAAAGACTCTATGGTGGGGGAACTGGACTTCCGGTCAGCTCCAGAATTGAATGGGGGGAATCCGGAGAGGACATTTGTGGCTCTTTTGAGTGTTTAAGGTTAGATTCCGACCCCCTGGGTTAGAACGTCACTGTGGAGAGTCCTCCTCTTCCTCCTCAAACCCCACTCCTTCTAGCCTTGATGCCGTTGCAAACTTGGGTCCAGAAACATCTGCAAGGAAACCACCAAGGAGAGAGACACCCCTCCCCCCAAATCCCCAACAACCCCACAGTCCAATACCAATCTGTTTTTCTTCGACTCTACCCGTTCAGAAGCTCGGCCCAAAAGAAAACATCTGCCACGTGTAAAAGGGTGAAAATAAAAACAAGCTCGAAGGGTCGAGAATCGGGGAGCGAGTTCGAAAGCAGCCAGAAAACACCCATCGGGCTTCAGAACCATGGCACCCAGATCAGAGTTACAAGGTGACAACCCGACGAGAAATATAGCTTTTTGGGATTCACGGCCTCCTCCACCACCAATGTGCCAACAGGTGTGAGAGTTCCAATTTTGACATGTTGTTGTTCCCCCCAGTTGTGCAAAGAAGGCAGGAGAGACACTGATGAAGCTCTGAGCGGGGCTTGTAGTGGGAGAGCTGAGGAAGAGGAAGCTGGGTCTGTGGTGGTCCGTTAAGGGAAGATGCTGGGATCCGTTTCTTTCCGGGGCGAGGAGGAGGGCTGCAGTTCGATGAAGAGACCTTAAAAAAAAAAACAGGAGAGAAACAAAGGAGAAATAGACAATTCGAGGCTAGGAAAGTAGGATATTACCGAAAACCGAATCAGGCAATCAAGGTAGCCACCCCTGCCCTCTATTTCTCAACACCTGGAGGGCTTTTGACCACGCTGCTTGGGATTCTGGGAACTGTAGTCTGGGGAATGGGGGGGGGGGAAGGGAAACCCAGGTTGAAGTGACTCTGTACAGGTAACTCTCGACAGATCACTGAGTGGCCATTCAAAGTTACGACCACGACCCTATTGTATGACAGACTTGCCGGTGGCCTCTGCATGGAGGGTCTGACCGTCCGCGCTCCGGATTTCGCCGCTCGCAAAGATCTTCCTGCCTTCGATTTTGTCCACCCTGGAGTCCACCAGGACCACGGAGCCCAAGGCCACGGGACTGCATGAAGGGGGAGGAAAAAGGCCAAGGGTTACCAGACGCCAGCAGGTTCCTCACTCAGCAACCGCGGTAAGGAAGTTGACTTAACAAACAGAAATCTGAGGCTCTATTGCCGTCGTAAGTTGAAGGCAGCCTGCCTGGACAATGCAAACAGAATACTATTAAAAAAAAATACAAAGACATTTTGGGTGGTCACTTTTTCCCCCCAATCTTGTTAGGAGGCTGAGAGATTCATTTTGGAACAAAACCAAACCTTACAGAAAGGGCTTGTTTATATTCTTATGAAAAAAAAAAGTTGTGATTTGATGTCAATGCCTTAATTTTAAAGCGACAGAGAGAGTCAACGTTTCTTTTTCTTCCTCACTTCTCTTCCTCCCCACTGTTCTCCTATTTACTTTTCTTTTCTGTCTCTTATTTTCTCTGATAACTCAAATGTTAAATATTAACTCTGGAATTAAAAAGAAAAAAACCCCTCAAAATTGGCACACCCGGAAGAGTTGAGAACTGTCCCATCCGCCCAATTCCGATTTTGGTTCTTCTTCTACAAAGACGATTAAGGGACTGGAGGCTAAAACATATGAGGAACGGTTGCAGGAACTGGGTATGTATAGTTTAATGAAAAGAAGGACCAGGGGAGACATGATAGCAGCCTTCCAATATCTCAGAGGCTGCCACAAAGAAGAGGGAGTCAAGCTATTCTCCAAAGGACCTGAGGGCAGAACAAGAAACAACGGATGGAAACTAATCAAGGAAAGAAGCAGAATTAAGGAGAAATTTCCTGACAGTGAGAACAATTAACCAGTGGAACAACCTGCCTCCAGAAGTTGTGAATTGCTCCAACACTGGAGATTTTGAAGAAGATGTTGGATAGCCATTTGTCTGAAGTGGTGTAGGGTTTCCTGCCTAAGCAGGGGGTTGGACTAGAAGACCTCCAAGGTCCCTTCCAACTCTGTTATTCTATTCTATTCCTTAGTCTATTCTATTCCTT